TACTACTACTACTACTCTACTACCACCAACATTGTATTGCTATTGTTATTTTTGTTGTTACTACTTCTTTGTTTATCATAATTGCCATTACTAGACGAATCACTACTAAATTTACCAAGTCATTGCTTCGAACACGAGGGTTGATGATGACGATGACTATGATGACGATGCTGCTGCTGCTGATGATCATGATGTCGTGGCAGAAGTCGAAGTAGAAGAAGTCGGCGGAGGAGGAGGAGCAGTAGTAGTGGTAGTGGTATTGGTAAGTACTGGCACTGGTAGTGGTAGTGGTAGTGGTCGCAGTAGCAGTAGTAGCAGCAGCAGCATCAGCAGACGCGTCGTCGTCGTCGTTGTCGTTGCCGTTGTCGTAGCAGCAGCAGGAGCAGTAGCAGTAGCAGTAGCATTAGCCTCAGCATTAGTAGTAGCAGTAGGAGGAGCAGGAGCATGAGCATGAGCAGGAGCAGGAGCAGGAGCAGGAGCAGGAGCAGGAGCAGGAGCAGGAGCAGGAGCAGGAGCAGGAGCAGGAGCAGGAGCAGGAGCAGGAGCAGTAGGAGGAGTAGTAGTAGTAGTAGTAGTCGTCGTCGTCGTCGTCGTCGTGGTGGTCGTGGTGGTGGCGGTGGTAGCGGTAATGGTAGTAGATTACCGTCGCAAGAACCAGTGTAATTCTTTGCACCACAATGTCGACAGTCTGTCATCATCATAAGGACCCTGACGCTAGAACGATTGCAGCAGTGCGTTCGCATACCGTGGTACATCGTCTCGTGCGCGAGTTTTTCCACACTAGCGCCGCCTATCCAGCAGAGCCCTGGTTTTGGTTTGACCATCCAAATTCCGCAATCCGGTGAAACTCCGAGGCCTGCGCGCAAAACCGAAGACCCTAAATCCTGAAGCCCTAAGCGCTAGGCTGCTGGGCTTATCGGACATCGGCAGCATGGGATCCCTGATGGTTGCTTTTGGCGTCTTCGCGGCCGCGTTCCTGCAGCTGCTGTTGCCTGGCTAGTGTTTGTTTGCTTTCCTGTTTCCTTGGTATTTGATTGAAGGGACACTGTCAACTACTAGACTACTAGTCTACTACAGCAGCTGCTGCTGCTGCTGCTGCTACTACTACTACTTCTACTGCTACTACTGCTACTCCTTCGCTGCTGCTGTCACGACTGCTGTTGCTACCACTCCTGCCAGTGCTACTGCTCCTGCTCCTGTTGTTTCTGCTCGTGCTGCTAGCTACTGCTCCTGCTGCTGCTCCTGCAGCTGCTGCTGCTGCAGCTGATGCTACTGCCACGACTACAACTACATTTATGCAGCTGCGGCGACGGTCGTGGCTACGGCTGCTGCTGCTGTTGTCAAAATTGCTGCTGCTGCTGCTGCTGCTACATCTACGGCTAGTGCTCCTGCTGCAGCTACTTTGTTATTATGGCTTCCTCCTTTCCTGCTCGGGGTTCTTGTGATACTACTATTTCGATAAAGGCGGCTTCTTGCTTGTAGGGTGCTCGGACTTGCACAGTTATCCTTTCCTGATGTCGCAAGGTGCAGTTCTTAATGATTCGCCTCTGGCATGGTCATAAAGTTGTCTTGCAGTTGTTCTTTTGAAGCTGTGCGCAGGTCGAGGAAACTTCTGTGTGGGTGTTCGTAAGGTTTCAGCTCTGGGGTGGAGGGCTTCATAAAGGTAAAGCATAGGAATTCCCTAAGACTCAAACTTGAGGTTTTGCTGGCTGGTGTCCAGCAACCTCCTGTCTGACGACGACAAGTACGACTTGACGTACTTGAGGAGCCATGCTGCGGATGGAAGACGAACAAATTAAGCCCCGCTTATTGCCCTGTATTAGCCTGAAACGCAGAAGCGCAAGCCGATCTTGAGCCCGAACTTCCAAACTGCGAGGGAGTGGCGCATTTACTACGGCCACAGCATCCACTCCTACGACCACACCTCGGGTTCTTCCTTGGTGAGCAAGGTGTGCAAAGGACTGCCTCTCATAAACGTTAGACCGTACCACACCTACCTACCCACCTACCTTGCTATCTCGGCTGGCTTGCTGCCTTCCTTCCAAGCTGCTTGCCTGCGCGCTTGCGTACCTAAACCAGACCAGTACGATTCTTTCGGGTTCCTTACTCTACTTTACTATACCACAAGACCCTTAAGGCTCCTTTCTTGACTACGGAACTGCAAAGGAGGAGCCATCCCTAAACCCTAAACCCCCATAGGACGGCCTTTCGAACGGGAGTGGTGGAACAACGCTCTTCTCAGCGAGGTGGCTTCGCTTTTTGCAACCGTAGGCTCGAGGACCCGCCATGAAGAGTTCTTGCCACTTCGTTTTTTTTTTGTCTGCGTTTTTGAGTTTCGGGTTGAGGGTCTAGGGTTTAGGGGCTAAGGGTGTTTCATGGTGTGCAGTTTCTGTTGGTCTTCATCGTAAGGATTCGATGATGTAGGGTAGTACATTCGAGTCTCCATTCTTGTAAGAACTCCACTGCCACGGCGTTGTTCCGGAAGCAAAGTAAGTTGCCAAGGTATTAGTGTAAAGAGGTTCGGGGGAGACTTCAAGGGACACCCTAAACCTTGTTCTTCACGCCCCAGTTCTTTGCGTGCTCTGTTTTTGCTTGTCAGGGTGATTATGCTCTCCTGGTGGGTTGAGGCTTTACCTTAACCCCAAATAACCTTTTTAAGGACTTATATAAAGAAACCATAATAAGGAACCCTAAAAAGGTAGGTCCTTTGGGGTCCAGGTAGGGTTTAACGAGAATAAAACAAGATGCCGATCAACTCTGCCAGGTAGCCTTGTCTCCTGCATGTAATCTGAGCCTAAAGCCCCTGCACCACGAACCTTCTCTGAGACCACCTAAACCCTAAACCCTAAACCCTACTAACGGTAACCCTATATCCTGGCCTGCGCTGAACTCTTTCCATTGCAGAGGGCCAGGAATCAATCCTGTGGGCTTACACCTGACTGGCGTCCTAGCGCAGAACCTCACCTAATCTAGGTGGCAATTTGGGAAACTTTAGAATTTCCCTTATGGTTTCTATAGAGGTACCTATTCATAAATACTTTTCAGGGCCCCAAAACTACAGCCCAGAAATTCATTGGGGTGATAGTCTGGAAGGAAGTGAGCTTTATCTTCCGGTTGAACCCGGCACCTCCGCGGAGAGCAAAGGGTTCGGTGCATTGTAAAGCAACGACCCTAATGCCACCCAAGCTGAAACTCTAATTCTTACAAACGTCGACCATGAAGAAAGAATGCCAGGTTCCTCCTGAAGCCCGAAGCAGCAACACCCTTCAGCCACAAATCTCAGATGCCAAAAAGACGTATAAAAACAAGGCCCTAGAGCATGCCAAACAAATTCCCGGAGAATTGCTTCAAACCTAAACCCTGCACTGTAAACGAATCGAAAACCAGGTCGATGCCTACTTGCAGCCGGTGTTTCCAGGTTCCTATCAGCTGCCAGTGGGCGTGGCGCCTGGGTTTGAACTCTTCTTGTTGGAGGAGGGGCGGTTGGTATCAGCCGGGTTGAGATTGGAATTCCCCAATAGGTTGAAACAAGGTGGCCGCAGAAGGAAAGGGTATGCAAACAAGATCCCTAAACCCTAAACCCTAATACCTAAACCCTCAGCCAAACGCATCTGTTTGGGGCTCTCAAGGGTTTTCAGGACTTTGGGGGTGTTTAGGAAAGCTCCAAGCCCTAAGCACTAAGGTGCTCACCAGCATGGCGATCATCATCTGGTTCTGCTTCATCCTCGTGGAGTTGGAGACCTGGTCATAGGGTTTAGGGTTTAGGGTTTAGGGTTTAGGGATGTTTGGGAACCTGTTTGCTTTTCGTGGTTTGGATTTCCATGCACTTTGAAAGAGAGCACGCGAAACCCTACAATGTCAGAGGGACCAAGGACACCGTCTGCGGCTTCACACATGCTATCCTCTGTCTTCCGCGCACCGGCACCACAAAAGTCGAGTTTACAGAGTCCCTTGGCTTCGTGGGAACATCTTGGTGTGTATTCCTGAGTGTATAGCTGTATACGCATATATGCATATGTGTATGCGTACATATATATATATATATATACACATACACTTATGTATATGTGTGTGTGTGTATATATATATACATACATATACACAAATATGTTTAGGTTGGTAGACATAGATGAACATGTATGAATGCGGTAGGCCAACTCTGATCTGAGGTTTGGTCGCCGGATGTTTGTTAGCATCAGCTACAAGCGGCTGATCGTTTTGTGCTTCGTCTCCTTCATGCGTGCCTTCATCGCCGTGGCCCTGGGCGTCTCTGCCGGCTTGTGGCTGGCACGGACCAGGGACGTGATGAACATCCTGCGAGACGGGGTTTCGCTCATCTTCATCCTGGAGTTTCTTGGTTCGTGCGAGAAATTTCCGTTCGGGTTTCGAGGGAGGGTCGGAAGCACGTTCATTAAACTCATTCCTCAAGTTTCCCGGCCTAGGATTGATGACTTGATCTACAAGGTGCTGGTGCCGGCACATGCGAAGAAGTACATGGCTTCTATACAGAAGTTCCTGGTGAAGGAGGAGCAGCAGATGTACATTTTCAACCTCTCTAGCCTCCTAAAGCTGGTGGTGCTGACTGCAGTGATTCTAATCCTCATCACCACAACGCTGCTGCCGAACACAAGACAAGCAGAAAGTGTGCGAGAGATGATCTGCGGTGGAAACCGCGACTTCGTTTATGGCTCCCACCCGACGATCCTGGGCTCTTGTTAAAAGTTACCATAGTACTGATCTATAGGAACTAACACGGTTTCCTTTTCTATGGTAACTTAAATTAAACCCCGTAGCAAGAAACCAGGATCGGTCCGATCTTTGTGACCGACACCACAGAGTACGACCTGAAGAATGCGGAGAACATGTTACCAGGCATTGCAAACTTGGTGGAGGACGTCGTCTTCAACTACGACCCCAAGGAGGTCGGAGTCGCAACACCCCCTAAACCCTAAGCCCTAAATCCTAAACCCTAAACCCAAATGGCTACGGCTCAAGATTTGGCCCGAGTTCTGCCCCTGTGAGTTTCCCCAGTCTCTCAAGCATTGCCGTGGGGGAGACTTGTGACGCCTTGAATATCACTGCCGGCCAGACCTTCCTAGAGCCCTACATCCTTGCTGCAGGGGCCTGGTGGGCGAGTGTGTGATCAGGGCGGCCAGTACCTCAGCGTCGTCTACACCCTCTCCTACGCCTGTTGTTGGGGGGACTTTCTCTTGAACAGCTCTGACCTTCACTTGTCCTCCTTGCTGGGGTGACGGTCTTCATCGGGGTGATGTCCACCAGGGTTCCGGACGATGCTCCCACCCAACCGGCCGAGGTAGAGGACCTGGCTGGATCGCCCACGGAAATTGGTGAGGATGAAGAAAGTGACATGGACGTGGACCAGGTCATGGTGAAGCGCGAAGAGTCGACCCATCTTGCTGGTGGGGCGAAGTTGGAGAAACGAAACAGGGTGGACACGAGACATGCTGGAGCAGTTGGGACTGTTGATGCCGGTGATGAGGATGAGAGTCCCAGCAAGAGGCCCCCTCCGCCTGGTGAGCTTCGCCCTGATGATCGTCCGGTCTCAGGGGGTGAACTGAGACAGCTTCTTCAACTTCACGCCAGAGAGATGAAGGAGGCCTGGAGGAGTCTTGAGACCCGACTGGACAAGGCTGAAACAATCCAGCAAAAGCAAGTCGGGGACATTGCCTCCCTTGCGGGCAGGGTGAAGATCAACGAAAGGGATGTGCAACAACTTCGTCGTGGACAAGAAGGACTGCAACCAAGGCTGGAGGAGCTTACCGAGAACGTGAAGAACCTCAAGGTGCAGCTCGAAGAGGTAAAGAAAGATCAGGATCACTCACGTCCTGCGGCGGCTCCTCCTTGCAATGACGGCCAACCAGACCCATGGGGTGACTACCTTCGTCAGCGAAAAGGAGGAGGAAAAGGCCGCCCTACACAGTTGGCAAATACGGGACACCCTGACAATGGGGGTGATGTTGCTCGTGGAGAACGTTCCCTTCCAGGCAGGAACAATGGGGGTGACTATCTTTCTGAAGAAGACCAACGCACCCTTATCGTGGGAGGATGGCCTCAGGATACTCGCAGAGCAGTGATTGAGACTGAGGCTGACATGGTGCTAAAGCTCCCCGAGGTGATCCCCCTGTTGGACAGCGACAAGATCCTAGTCTTTGGCCCGAGGAGGAGTGTGGGGATGCTTCGCTTTAAGGAACGCGATGGAGAAAACTTCGCCCAGCTCCGAGAGAGGATGTGGAAAGTTGTGAGGGCTATCGCGCAAGCCAAGGTAAGCTTCCCCAGCGCGAAAGATGTTGGAGAAGAAAAGGTCGCGTGGGTGGCGTTTGTCAAGACCAAAACCGCCCGAAGCCGCACCGCGCACATAAGCATGGTCAGACGCGTGGTCATTGCGCTCGCCTCTGAGGTCAAGGATGACGGGGGTGGTGTGTTGAACTTGGACCATACACTCCAGTCTTCTTACGATATGGATTGGAACGCAGGCACCATTTGGTGCGGACCTCAGAAGATTGCGTCCGCGACTCACAGGGCTCCCCGCGGGGTTGAAGTTATCACTATGTCCGGTGGCTGGGTGGACCTTGACTCAGTTGGACTGGTGACTGGCTGCTCGGTGGACGTGGCAAAACGAGCCTTCGAGCTCGAGCTGTGACAAAGGACCGGGTCGAGTTTCACTCCTTCCCCACGACCTTCTCAGCCTAAGGCTTCGGACGCGGGGGTGGATAGGGTGAGCCCTGATCTGTGTGAAAAACATCGTTGGGGGCGAGCTTTGCAGTGGAATTTGGGTGGACAAGAGCTAAATTTGCTTGATATTGCCGCCCTGGATGCAGACATTATCTTTGTACAAGAAGTCGCTCGTCGTGGACCTGGATGGCAATGCAAGGACTCCGACCACTTTCACTGGGTGTCGTTTCAAGATGAAGACATGTGGCGAGGTGTCGCGGTAGGGGTGGCCATTGATAAACTTGACTGCGTGATCGCGAAGAGGGCAACCAAACGGGGCATCTGGATTCTGGCGAGGATCTCTGGCTTGGGGAGAGTTGTCTTGGGTTCCATTCATTGCTTGACTGGGGTGACCAATGCGAAGTATCAGGCGGCGGTGATCGAGTTCTTCCAATCTTGTCCCTCGGCGTGGAGGCACCTACCAGTTGTGTGTGGCGTGGACGTCAATGAAGTTCCACCTTGGGTCGACTTACCGGATGATGGCAGTCGTCATGGGGTTGAAGTCCTCGCAAATGGGTCCAGCAATCTCAATGTGTTCGTGGAACAAGCTGCACAAATGGGACTTCGACCAGTTTGTCCTCTACCTGTGGACTTTCATACGCCAACGCATTTCCCTCGTGATGAACAGAGGCAGGGACATCAGATTGACATGCTCTGGTGTAGGCAACTTCGCATGAGTGTACTGCACATAGAACCTGACCGACGCTTTCTTATTGGGACGGATCATGCGGTCCTGTGGTGTGACATCTTCGCTGGTAAGAAAGGTCGTCTTCAATGGGGGAATGATTCCAGGCCAAGATGGGTTTGCACGCCACTCCCGGAGACAACACTACTGGAGGCGAGTGACATCAGCAAGTTGGCGCAATCCCACTCTGCACCTCGGCGAACCAAGGCCTACAGTGACAATGATGAGACTCGTGCTGCTTTTGCGAAAGCAAGGGGTGAACCGAGAAATGCCCGGCTGTGGAAAAAGGCTCATCGTCTTCGTAGATCGGGTCGACTTGAATGGAAGCAACAGCGACTCTCCGCCATACTCAATGGTGACTGGGCACAGTATCGTGCACGCCGACGTGAACAAGACAGACGCAGAGGATGGTGGGGTGGCATGCTTGAGAACCATAGCGCTGGCGAACTGACAAGCCAGGTCAAGGAGCACCTTGAGACCAAGCTTGTCAACCCACATCAGCAAGACTGGGATGAGCTTCTTGAAGAACACATTGCTGGGGTGAACTTGGGGGACGTCTTTCAGCCCTTTACGATCCTTGACGTCCGTACGGAACTTCAGGAGATGAAGACTGCGGGGGCTGTTGGACCCGATGGGGTGAGCGTCTCGTTGCTCAAGGAGATTGCCAGCCATGATGTCCTTGCGCCCCAGCTCCTCGCTATCGTCAACGTGATAGTTGAAGAAACGGCCATCCCGTCGACGTGGGATGAAAATTTCCTGGCGCTTCTCGCAAAGGTCGACCAGCCCACGGTACCCAAGGACCTCAGGCCGATCTGTGTCAGCTCAGTGTTCCACAAAATGGTCACGAAAATGGTATGTAAACGGGCCCTTCCTTTTATGCGATCGGGCTCACTGTGCTCTGGCTGTGGCAAAGGGAGACAAGCGGCCGACATCATCGGCACCGTCTCAAGGATTCGAGATGTGGTTCATGAATGGAAGAAACCATTCCTCCTATGCAAACTTGACATCTCTGGCGCCTTCGACAAGCTGGACAGGCTCAAGGTGGTCGAGTTTCTCAAAAGGCATTTGGGTGAGTTTACATTGCCTCATGAGCTTCGTTTCTTGCTGTCCCAACTCAGAACGTACCGATTAACAGGAAAAGTGCCGGGGGGCGACTCCATCGAGATCTTCCCGAACATTGGCATCAAGCAAGGTGCTCCCGAAAGTGCCGAGCTGTTTGGGATGGTGATGGACTCCATGCTCAGTCGTCTGCTTCGCAGTGAGGGATGGCGAGCCTTTGGGGGGTGTGCGGGTGACTTGCAGGCCGACCTCATCTTTTACCAGGACGATATATTCTTGTTTGAAGAAGACTTCATTCGCCTTTGTCGTAAGATCAAGGTGCTTGAGCGCTTTCTCATGACTGCAGGTCTGAATCTTGCCGCAAACAAGACTAAAATTGTGGCAAGTGAATTCTACAGGGGTGTCCGCAAAGCCAGAGTAGGAGGCGACCTGTTCGAGATCTCCCCCTCCATCGAATCGGTGAAGGTGCTCGGGCTCAGCTTCAACTTCCAGGACTCGTCGTCTCAACAAGCTCGTGAACTCCTTGGCCGGACGAGGGGAGCTGCGGCGATGCACCGTGAACTTCTCCAAGGCAGGGCCTCCTGGGAAAAGAAGGCGAAGATGATCACAACTCTGGTTGCCTCTCAGTTCCAGTGGACCGCGGGAGCCGTGCACTGGTCGCCGTCTGACCTTCAGCAAGCAAATGTTCTTCAGCTACATGTACTGAGGAGCTCTTTCTTGCTTAGGCGAAAAGGCGGGGAGTCATGGCTCACATGGAATTGCAGAACAATGCGTGAATGTCGCGCCTGGCTGGCTCGCCATCAACTACCCCGCTGGAGCACGGTCGTCCTCACGCTGCAGCACACCTTGGCAGGACACTGGGCACGACGGGTGGAGGTCGTCGGCGCTGGGGGAGTTGCTTTCCCCTCCCTTCCTATGCGGGCGTTGCAATGGCGCAGCACAGATTGGTGGCGCCGCCAACAGGCCCTTGGCCCCCGTACAGGTCTTCGACATCAAGGACACGTTCATGTACATAACCTTGAGCGACAGCTTGCGGACGTCCATGGCAGCTGATGGCCTCTGATCGCCACAGATAGACACAGATGGAGTCGTGAACGTTCCGCCTTCCTTGAAAAGTGGGACCCCAAGTGGACAAGGAGCAGACAGCTTGCGATCATGCAGTAGACACGCTCGTCTAACAGCGAGCCCCCCGAGGGTGACTGGAAGTGTGGTCCCTACATGTTGTGAAACCTTGACGGGCTGAGTCGTGTAGGGGTGAGCCTCTCATGGGCATCCTCAGTGTCTGCTTTTCTTTGAGACTGATGACTGTATGATTCCATGTCTGGTCTGTGAACGCTTTGAACGGTCTCACAGTGAATGTACTACTATGACTACGTCTTGATTGTATGCAACTATGGCAACCTTGCTTACCATCTGTGGCCTTGGCTCCAGGTGTTTGTGGAAACCCTCGCGCCCTTTACACGCCGCCTCTCCATCATGGCCCTCTTCGTCTTCCCCTTGCTGTGGGGGACCTTCGTGGGGCGACATCTCCTGACCGTGACCTTCGCCATGGAAGAGGACGAGATCTACCCGGGTCACCTTTGGGAGGCCAGCTGGAGGAACGACCCGTCCATGGAAAACAATGCGGCCGCCTCGTCGAGCTCTTCCACGCCTTGGACATCTTCGACCACGCCGTGCCAAACCCCACCATTCTCGCAGTCTGCCCTGATCGAACACATGTCCAGCGCGTGGGATGAGGAACTTTGCCTTGGACTTCAACAAGAGGAACTCGACGCTGCAACACATGATCCCAGCAATGGGGTTGAAGGCCTGGTGGCACCGGATCCCTTTGAGATCCCGGCCTCCATTCTTGCCAGCACTCCGGAGAATACCTCAGCTGGGGTGACTGTTGACCTCCTTGGCCTGGAGCAACTCAACGAGGACGAAGAGATTAAACCTTTGCCTGAGTGGGATTGGCCAGACACACCCCGTTCGTCTTCGGAGCTTTTGGGGGTGACTTTGGGAACCTCCCCTTCCACTCCGTCGATACTAAGGGATGACTTCTCTAAGACTGCCTCGTCCTCCTCGAGCCCACCACGACCTATGTCACTGTGTTCTACCTCAGCCATGGCGACCTCAGCGTGCTCCACGTCATCCTCCTGTGCCTCGTCTTCCTCGTGGACACCCACACCGGTGAGTATGCAGCAGAACCAGGTGGGCCCGCAGAGCTTCTACCCCTCCTGGACTGCCTGGGAACCAACAACCTCAAGTGAACCTGCAGTACATGAAGACCAGGGGCAACCTGAACCTCCTGCACAAGGCCCTGACTGGCTATATCAGGTCATTGACAAACGCCGACTTCGTGGGAGACCGGCCTGCACGACACAACTGGGCCAGCATGCCAGTACTGAGAATGACGAGCAGCAGGGGATGACTAGCCGCTTTGGTACCAGTCGACCTGGCAGAGACCGGTGGCACCACCCGGATGGAACAATTCGTGTCCGCCTGCGTGAAAGACTTCGTGCCGAGACGGGTCAACACCCTCTTCCACCCGTGCCGGAGGAATCTCAGCAACCACAAGAAGCTCCTTGGTTTCAGGTACTTGGACAAGCGGGCGTGGAGCCTTCGACTGGGGACACCATCCTCCTAGTGGAGAATGCGACGGGGGAGAAGTTCCAGGTGCGCTCCAACCAGCCAGCTGACCAGGATGTGAGCACCACAGCCGGCGAAGAGAGTGGCATGGCGGACACCGAATCGGGGCTCTCTTCATCCGATGGAGGAGATGGTGGCATAGGGTTTTGGCGCAATGGGGTGTGGATCAACAGAGCGAGAACGGAGGCTGAACTTCGGGCTCATAGAGGCGGGGGAGGTGAGGTTAGGACACGTCGAAAAAAGGAAAGGATGCAGGCCTACTTCGATGGGCGCTGGAAGCCCGCGTGGTTGCAGAACTACATCACCAGCCGTCAACAACGAGAACAAGAGGCTGCGAGCACTACGGGGGACATTCCGGTTTCATCTACTCCTGCAAAACCTGAAGCTGCCGAGACCCTGCCTACGGCCTCCGAGGAGGACAACAATGCGAGCTGGGGGTGGTCTTCATGGAACGAGTCCCAACAGTGGTCGTGGGATTCGACATCCTCCTCGTGGTCCACCCCGTCTTCGTGGTCAACCTCGCAATGGTCAACATGGTGGACGGTGGACAATTGGGATGCTACGGCCGATAAAGACCAACAGTGGCAGAAGGACACTGACTCATGGACATCTACTACCACGACATCCACTACCTCGACTCTCTGCATGGACCTGCCGGGACTCGGGGTGATGTCCATGACCGTCCAGGCTCCCCATAGTAGTCCCAATTTCGGGGTGAACTTGGGCAACGAGACTCTGGTGACTGGGGTGACGTGCCTGTTGGCTTCCTCTACTACCACCACGAGCCTACCGGATGACAACCTCCCTGCGATACCAGGGTTCGGGCTCCTACCTGAAGTTCGGACAATAGAGACTGAAGTAACCTGGCTGATGCAACTCACCAATGGGGAGCGGGCAACTATGCAGGAGAATGGCGTCACGGAAGAGAACATCAACCGTATCGAGGAGTTCCTGCACCAGGTTGATGATCACCAGGTTGATGGCACGGGGCCGGAAGCAAGGTGGGCAATGGCTCGTTTGGTGGACCGCCTTAATGACGGGTTGCACTCTCTGACCTGCATTCACGATATCCTACACCGCCGCCTCCTTCCTCGTGGTTACCTACCACTACAACGCATACCTGGGGAAGAATTGACAAGGATTCGCTGGTTGAACTGGGCGAGGCAATTCATGACGATTTTCATCCGCAACCTCGAAGTGAACCTCGGAGCTCCTTTGCAACCGCAAGAGTGTGACCCCTCGGAAGGGGTGACCCTCGGCTTTGGTACGGCAGCACCCTACATGATGGCCAGCGCTTCCGGCGAAAGGCGTGAGAGGAGTCGTAGCCCACCACGACCAGATGCAGGCGCCAATGATGTGGGTCCCATTGCCAGTCGTGATAATGAGGAGGAAGACTCCGAGTCTGAGGCCTCTTTCGTGATTGACGACACCCTCGCACTACCTGACCCGGCCGAACTTCCCGGCATCTGGAGAGACCCGCCGCTGGAGAACCTGTCTAATGAGAATAGTGCATTCGGCAGAAACCACACCACAGGTGGAACATCCTCGTCTGCAAGGGCCATCACGACCACCTCTACCACAATGTCCATGGCACAGCTTGGGTGTTGGGGATGGTCTGCGTCGTCCTCGGCTTCGGTCTCCACCTCCTCGCCTTCTACCTTGACTACGACGACATGCACATTGGCTACCTTGTGCCCTTTGTCAAGTCTGTTGGCCTTGGGTGATGTGGTCGGGATGACTTTGACCTGTGGGACATCGCTTCAGGAGTGGACCTCCACAACCACGTCGAGCACAGTCACTGGTCAGGCCCCTTCTTCTGTGACGAGATCAACTTACTGGCCCGCTGACTTGGTCCGTGAAGCAGCAGTGGCAGTGGCAGTGGTGGGAAGCCAGGCTGACACAGTGGACCTCATCAGGCGCCTGTTAGATCGGCAACGTCGTCTGAGGCACTGCGAGCGCCTCCTTGGGGAAGCCATTGAGGAGCTACTGGGGACACTGCATGCCCATGACAATGAGCTTCCCCTCAACGCAAGAGCGATGGAGTCGAACTTGCTGGAAGTTGTGGTCAATGAAGCCAGAAATGGACATGGCCTGTCAGAGACTTGCACGGTGATCCCGCCAGGACAACCCGCGGTACTACTTCAACCCGGCCTTCCAGGAGACCTTCGACAGCTGCAGGAAGCGCTTCCTGATATGAACGAGGCCCTGGTCGCTGGGTACAGGAGACGTGCTTGGCGTCGACATGTGAGGGGGCTCTACGCGGAGGCGGGTAGGGTGCTGCCCGAAGGTCGCTGGCCAGCGGAACATGACCGAGACCTCTGCCTTGTCCAGGCGAACGGCAGCCTACCGGTCCCAAACATGCCGCCCTTGGTCAGTCCTCCGGAGCGCCCCTATCTTCATCGTCGTGTTCATGGCGTGGCATCCCGCAGGAGAGGACAACGCTGGATTTCGCCAGCTCAGACACTGGTGTCTGGAACCACTACCTCGCCCTCCATGATGACACCCACCTCGAGCACAGCGACGGCGCCTACTACAGTGGTCACCAACCCCACAGGCCCTCCCGTGGACAGACATCGCGGCCGAGGAGAAGAACAAGATGCTTCAGCAGGCAGCAGGCCGCGCAGTCGAAGCCGCGACGCGGGGTCATGAATCAGTGTGAGGGCTTTTCTGTGAGGGCTTCTTTCATTGTATGCTGACAGTGCACGCTCTATGAGCGAGCTCTTGGACACTCTGCGGAGAGAAAGGGCTACTGCATTAAAAAAAAAAAACCCTAAACCCTAAACCCTAAACCCTAAACCCAAAAGCTGCACTGACTCCAAACCTCAGTTCTCACCTGGGAGCTTCCGAAAATTAGGGGGTACCTTATTTTGGGGGTCCTTATAATAAGGATCCTACTATTTGGGGTACTGTACTATATTAGGGTCCCCTACTTTCGGAAACCCCCACCTGAAGCTTGAAGTGTCACGCTCGCGCTCGCGTCCGAACACGGGCTTGGACACGGTTCATGTTTGGTTCTTCACGGCTTCACTGCACAGTGGTTCCTGTTGGGTCCACGCGCCACAAGCTTCCGGTCCATGCTTGCTTTTGGCTTCCGCATCGTCGTGTATGTACGTTGGGTGTCGTCGTGGTGGGCAATGTGCGAACGCTTAACATCAGATTTCTCAGCCCCAAACTCGGATTGCAACTCTGTAGACCCTAATCTCTAAACATAACCTCAAGACCCACAGCCGAAGGTGAAGGACTTTATGTGGCGCAGCACGCTGTCCCGTGGCGAATTGGCGGTGAAGCACCTTCCCACTGTCACTGAAATGCAGGTGTGGCTGGACATGAGCCTCGGGCAGTTTAGTAGCTCTTTGAGTCTTCTTGCTTTTGAGGCTCCAGAATCATGAACCTTAAAGTTTCCGAACATGTGAAGATGGCTTCCGAGTCGATGGGCTTTGACATAGACCTGCGCCTGAAGCCTAAACCCTCCCTCTCAGTCGACTTGCCTCCCTGCCAAAATGGGGACGTGTGGTCAGGAGAAAGGGGCGCAAAAGAAAGCTCAATCCTAAATCCTAAACCCTAAAGCCTAAAAACCGTGAAACTAAAAGCCCCAAATCCCCGAACCGCAGACCCTAAAGCCCTAAAGCTCTAAACTCAAACCTTTCAAGCCCTACAAACCCTATAAGCCTTACGAAGCAGCCCGCCCTCAAGCTCTAAAGCGCCAACGTCCCAAACCCAATGCTTGCAAAGCCGCCTGCAAACCCTCAAGCCCCGTAGCCCTAAACTGCAAAACCAAGCCCTACAAACCCAATAAGCTTGAAACAGCAGCCAGCAAACCCCAGAAGCCATAACACCCTAAAGCCCAAAACCCAAAACCCTCCAACCCTAAACCCTAAACCCTAAACCCAAAACCCTAAACCCTCCAACCCTAAACCCTAACCCCTAACCCCTAAACCCTAAACCCTAAACCCTTAACCGTAAGCCCTTAAGCCCTTAAGCCCTAAACCCTAAAGCCCTAAAGCCCTTAAGCCCTAAAGCCCTTAAGCCCTAAAGCCCTAAAGCACCGAGGCCGGAGAGCCAAGCCTCTGAGGACCCCCGGGAAGTTCGGAAATCGCAGGGCCCAGGGTTTGGGAGTTTGGGATTTAGGGTTTAGGGTTCAGGGTTTAGGGTTTAGGGTTCGGGATTTGGGATTTAGGGTTTAGGGTTCAGGGGTTCAGGGTTTAGGGTTTAGGGTTGAGCATCTGGGATTTAGGGTTTAGGGTTCAGGGGTTCCGGGGTTTAGGGTTTAGGGTTTAGGGTTTTGGGGTTTAGGGTTTAGGGTTGAGGGTTTAGGGTTTAGGTTTTAGGGGATTGCTGTTGCGGGTCGGAGCTGACTGGTTCAACGCGAACCGGTAGCCA